TTACCGCACAAGGGATTCAATATGGATTGATCACTGAAGAAAAAAAAAAAAAGTATTTCCTTCAGCTTGGCTGGATCAAACCCTTGCAACTAACCAAGAAGAGGTTTTTTTTTTTTTTTTCAGTATTGACACTCTCTGATTTAAGAGATTATTTCCCCCACCACCTGTTTCCTCCACTCTTCTGCTACAGATGACCGTCCCCACAGTGGAAGTCAGAGAGGTTTGTGTGTTACATTTCCAGTGGCCATACTTCACAGCTCAGTATTTTAGCTTATAACTAATTGATTTTCCCTCAGTATTTATGGCCATTTGATATATATGCCTGGCAGAAATATTAAAACAAAGATGTTGATACAAAGAGCAAACAGTAGCCTGTAGCCTGAGGATACATACCTCTGATTTTCTATTTATTAGCAGTCAGAAACACAGACCCAGTTATGAATCTGCCACTGGTTCCACTAGGGGACTTTTGACCGTCATTCAAACTCTCTTTGTTCTAGCTCCTGGTCTCTAAAATGGGATAATGCTAAGTGGGCATCATGGTGAACCTCTATTTGTAAATATGCTGTTATCCTTGCTAGAACTATTGCATTAGTGAACAGTTTTGAGCAAGTGTAGGACAAGAGGAAATGGCCTCAAGTTGCGCCGGGGGGGTTTAGATTGGATGTTAGGAAAAAATTCTTCACAGAAAGGGTTGTCAGGCACTGGAAAGAGCTATGCAGGGAAGTGGTCGAATCCCCATCCATGGAGGTATTTGAGAGAGGTGTAGACATGGTGCTTAGGGATATGGTTTAGTGATGGACTTGATGATCTTAAAGGTCTTTTCCAATCTAAATGATTCTATGATTCTATGATTTTGAGGCAGACTAGGCTAGTGCTTTGACTGTAGCCCACCGAAAGGGAGGGGGCAGCATCCCCCAGCAGGGCTGGGGGGCCTTTGGGGTATTTAATGTGAAAAAAGTTTCACAGCCAACTGGAAAAGGATACCAAGGCAAGGCTTGGCATCTAGTGACAAACTAGATGTAAGCCACAAGAAGAACAAGGGAAGTAGTTATGCTCTTACTTTCCTTTTTCCTTTAAGTAATTGCTATTCAGCTTTCCAAGGATTCTTTCTGGCATTTGCTGGAGAGCCCATACCAGGCTGTACATATTTCACATGTACAATGCTGTCCCGGTTCCTGATTGCCTGGATTAAGGTGACTACTGGAGAGCACCATTAACTCCTGATTTTGCTCCAGTTTCCTCCCAAAGCCTGTGGGGCACTATGTGCATCTCAGTCTCGTTCCAGCATGAACTTGGATCATGGCAATGATGTGCACTGGGGGTGGGACTTCCTACACAATGTGGACTCAGCCAATTCAGGAGAAAAGAAACGGCATTTTCGACTTTATCCCACCAACTGAACAATTTTTTAATGATCGCTTTTCTTTCTAAAAAGAAAAAAAGCCTGCCTTCCTTGTTAACTTTAATAGGCTAATAACTTAGATGATACAATTTATGTGATATTAGAAAGCTTAGTGATCTGGTGAGGCCTAATTAAGAAAAATAATAATGTGTACTCAGGCACTGAACTTGCAGAAGGTTTTCCAAATCTAGATCCATTTGCTAAGTATAAGGATTCATCTACTGATTAAATTTTGGACTTTGTAAGCTACAGAGATAGGGCTTAACCTGTTTAACAAAATACTTAATGTTAATAAAAATACTCCTTCAGGCTTCAAGCATCACTGTGATCATTAAGAGGGGGGCACACGCTAATAGTACCTGGGGAAAGGGAAAAATGCTTCCCCTGTTTTCCTGTGTATCAGAGACAAGAATCTCTGCAGCTGTCATCTCTGGAGCTCAAGCTGAGGTTCTCGAGGATATGTTGGCAGCACTTACTCCTGGAAGGACTGCTAAGCAATGAGTAGGGGAAAAATACAGCACTTGGGTTTTAACTTGACAACAGCTTCCCTTGGGTGCTAACTCCCTTTGCTTACGAGACCTAGAGTCTAAATGCTGTAAGCCAGGACACATTTATGAACCAAGGTTGGAACCTTTCTTGCAGTCTAACTACGTTCTCTGGGAGCCAGCCCCTGGTCTGCTGCAAGCAGAACTGAAAGACAACTGGTACAGTAAGATAACACAGCATCCTCATTTTCCATTTTACCACAACTATTAACCTAAAGAGGAAACCCATGTCTAAAGATTTTTCCTTCTTCCTAAGATTTTTTTGATGCAAATACTTCTTGCTATTCAGTGGCTTCTTACTGGAACTTCCTGATGCAAATACCTCTTCACATGCAGGGTCTTGTCTTCCGCATCCCACTGTGACTCCTGCAGAGAGGAACTGTTCCAGGTAAAAGAAATTTTTGAGGCTTTACTTACTGTTTAACTAGTTTGAAATGGATCTGTTCTCTAGGCTTACAACTGCATTAAACTGCTAATAGGATTCGTCTTCAGCGAGGCAATCAGAACACTTCATTCTTGTCCTGAACTGCTCTAATGGCTTGGACAGCTAAGGGGAATCCTTCCACACAGATCAACTACTTCACATCCCACCTTCTGCTCCTCCAGCTGCTCTGGGATTCCTGCTAGAAAGAGGGAGAAACAAATTAGACATCAAATAGATAGGCTTCCTAGGGTGTATTACAGGGCTTTAATTGGTTATCTTGCTATCAGAAGAAGAAAACCTCCTATTAATTGGGAGGTAGTGTGATTGGCTAATGAGTTTTTCACATTCAGTAAGTTTTTAATTACATTAGCAAGCTAAAAATGAGTCATCTAGCCCAGTGTAAGAAGCATTGTTTGCAAGAAGTACACTGGCTACCTCCTTGAACTCCAGGAATACAATTAGGTAGGGGGTAAAAAAAAGCTACAAAGCTGTAGCTGAAAGCTACAAAGAAAGGAGAGAATAATGGAAGACATTTGCCTCTTAGATCAGTGGAGCCTTTCAATCAATTGAGTGACATATTTGAATCCAATATTTGCAGTTAGTCCCTCCAGTTCCTTGTTATCACACGGGTGTTTGGGGACCCAAACTGAAGAAAAAAAAAAAGACTTTATTTTTACCCACCGTAAGAGACACAAGTGGATTACAAACATTACTTTGTGAACTGTTGCAGCCCAGAGTTTCATAGAAATTCCAGTGCTTTGAGTTCAGATTATATACAGGAAACGCTTCCCCCCCCCCTACTGCTATAAGCTGCTTCACTTTGCTTGCGTTCCAGAGAGCCAGCCTTCTCGGGAACCTGGTCAGTGTGGCCTTGTAGGTTCATGCCATAGTTATAACCATCTTGACAGATTCACTTTGGCTTTTCACATTTTCTTTGAATTTGTATGGTTTTTATTTCTTTCCTGAAGTTTGATGACTTTTTGGCACATGTTATCATCCCTACAGTTGTTGGACACTGAAATGGTCACACGTTTTCTTGGTCTACTTCTACGTCACGTGTGAAAAGAATTGCTGTTAAAATTTAACTTTCGCCAGACAGCTGTCAAATGTATTTGATGCCTCTGTTCTTTGAAGGAGGAGTAAAACATGGAGTAAGACACGGAGTCAGGATTCCACCCAGAGCGCTGTTTTCAGACTTTCTGCTCATGTTAATACTGCAAAGCTTGTCGGTTTATGGAGTCTGAGATGGGGTCTGTCCTGTTGTGGGCGATCCCTTGTACTGCAAGTTAAATCCTGATGACAGAAAGTTTGTTGATGATAAATGAGTCGAACGCAGCTGAGTTGGGCTTTCATCTCCAAGCTGACTCTTTGACAATTAGGAAAATTAGTATGAGGGGAAAAATGCATCTGTGATTGCATCTAAGGAAGCCGCCACATTGCACGGGGCACGCGAATCCCCAGCCACGCCGTTCGTACGTTTGGCTTTCAGGGCAAAACTTTAAAGCAGAGCAAAGTTTGCCATACACAGGAGAGAAACGAGGTACAAATAACCTCGGCCGTACCGTGGCCTTCAGGAACCTGTGGTTCAGCCTCAACGCTTCTAAAGGACGGCTCTGGATTGACGCTGAAACTTTGCAGACCTTCATACGGAAGCTCACTCACGGGAGTAAATTCCCACCGAAGCCCCGCACGGAAAAGGCTTCGCATCCCCGCCTCCCACGGGGAGGCCGCCTGG